AGTAGTTTGTTATTATTATTAATTTTTAATTAAAACCTTGATTGTTAAATTCTATCAACATAAAACAATGCAGATAGAACCTTATAATTCTCATGCGACGATTTATATTTACACCAAATTATTTTTACGTTGTTAAGAGTAGTTTTGGGTAAAGATTTCAAAGTTGACTGATGAAAAAAAGTTTTGGTTTTTGTTATTTTAAATATTAAACATATATCTGCTTTGCGAACCAATTTTTATTTGGCCTTATGTTTTATCAAGGTGTTATTGATGTTTTAGTTTTTCAATTTTTCTAAAGATATTTTGCACAAAAAAAAAATTTGCAAATATATTTTGAATACAAATACAATTATTTTTGTTTTGTAATAGCTTTGTAAAAAATTTACAAAGTTATTACAAAGCATAGTTGAACATTTTACTTTCATTGCATATTAATAATGTAATTTTCATTACATAATATTAATGTAAGATATGAGGGTAATCAGAAAAGATGCTGTAATCCATTTCTGAGTAACCAAAAGGTATGTAGAGGTAAAAATTTATATATTTATATTTCATTAGGTAATATCATTATTAATAAGTCATATAAGTTTTTTTGGTAAAAAGATTTGTTAAATGCTTCATAGTTATTAATATAATAAATTGTATAGTAATATAATTACATAATATATATAGTTAATGCTATTTAAGTAATGTAATTACTTTCTTTTAAAGCATCTCTACGTGTGATTACAATGCATACTGTGTTAGAAGCAGAAACCATAGGTTTAAATCTGTAATGATTGTTACACAAAGCAATTCGGAATAGCAATTAGCGATTGCAAAACAAGCAATTCCCCTTTGCAAATTGCACAAAAACTTCTAACGAAAGTATTCCCTTGAGAGAATTCCGCACGAGGAACTCTTGCTTAAAAGGCAGTGCGCTAAATTAAATTACAGTTGAAGTTTCGACGTGAGACTATACAGAGTTTTATATTTAAACTAGTTGTGATAACACAATATGAAAATATTGAAATAAATATTAAATAAAAATCATAGTCGAATTCTCTTTATAATAAATATAAAGACAAAACATTACATACCTGGAAAAAAACTGTGTCCAACCTGTCGAAGTAAAGTTATGACACGTTTATCAAAAAGTATAAGTGAAAAAAAAAATGATGAAGATTTTGATATTGTTAATGAAAGATCCATTCAAAATAAAAAAGAAAGTGTAGATACACACTTTGCATCTGCCGGAGTATCTCCAATTAAGGTCAAAGGATTGCACTAGTCAGGTAAAATCAGAGAAGGTAAACGAAAATTGACAGCATTAACAACCTTCATTAAAAAAAAGGTAGCCATTTCCCTTAATATATCAAAAGAAAGTTTTGAAGAACAGTCAAGTTTTAATAATGAGTATATAGAAAAAGCAAACTTGTTTGATAACATGATGGTATTGTTAACTAACAAAATTGCAGAGTCTACATCAACATCAAAAAAAGTACAACTTGCGACACTTGCTCCAACAGACTGGTCAATAAAAAAGGTATTTGAAACATTGCATGTAACAAACTATGTAGCTCGACCTGCACGTAAGTTAATATTAGAAAAAGGTATTTTAACCATGCCTAATCCTAAATTAGGAAAAGCTCTTCCTAATGTAACAGTTCAACTGGTCAAGACCTTTTGCGAAGACGGTGAACATAGCCGTATAATGCCTGGTAAAAAGGACTATGTAAGCATAAAAAAAAATGTCCACATGCAAAAACGTTTGCTTTTATGTAATTTAAAAGAATTGTTTGTTACCTTTAAAACCAAGAACCCAGAAATAAAAATAGGATTTTCAAGGTTTTGCACCTTGCGACTTAAATGGTGTATTACTGTTGGTGTCTCAGGAACACATTCTGTATGCGTCTGTGCTATTCATCAGAATTTGAAACTGCTTTTACATCCTCTTGGTGTGACATACACAGAATTGTCTGTGATATAACTAATAAAGAATGTATGATGAGGAAATGTGAAAAATGCCCAGCAACTATGAATGCATTGGCTGAAAAACTTTATGATATACTTGGAGAATTTGAAGATGATGATGAGATTGAATTTGATCAATGGACAACAAGAGATAGGTCGAATTTGACACATAATAAAGAGCCAGTGTTTGAATACATTGAACTAGTATGTAGAAAACTGGAAAAACTTGCACCACATTCGTATATAGCAAAGAGTCAAGCATTATACCTGAGATCAAGAAAGGAAGATATGAATGAGGTAACAGCATTATTTCTGGGTGATTTTTCAGAAAACTATAAATTTGTAGTTCAGGATGAAGTGCAAAGCTTTCACTGAACAAATTTACAATGTACACTTCATCCAGTGATTATTTATTTCAAAAAAAAAGGCATTCTCAAGCACAAATCCTATTGTATTATTTCGGATGATATGATCCATGATGTGAACATAGTTTATAAAATTATTGAGGTTGTTTGCAATGATATAAAAACAAATTTGCCTCAAATAAAAAATATTGAATACTTTTCAGATGGGTGTGCAGGTCAATATAAGAATTGCAAAAATATGTTAAACCTTTGTTTCCATGGTAAAGATTTTAGTTTTACTGCTAAATGGAACTTTTTTGCAACTAGTCACGGCAAGCAACATTGTGATGGAATAGGTGGTACAGTCAAACAAACTGGCAACACTAGCAAGTTTGCAAAGAGATATGGGTAATCATATATTATCTCCACAAACAATGTATAAATATTGCAATGAAAACATTGAAGGCATAAATTTCATATATATTTCATCAGAAGATTTAACTTTGGTGAGAACCGCTCTTAAAAAACGATTGGATACTGCTAATACAATATCTGGAACACGTAGTTACCATCAGTTTGTACCACTTTGCCATCAAAAGGTAAATTATATTTTTTAATTATTCCTTTTACCATATTTTAAAATACACGCTTAACTTTTATTGATAATCTCAAATAGATATTAGATTTTTGCAGAATCATTATCAAAAATATTTGTATTTTATTTTATTTCCTCTGCATTTGCTATCTATTCATTTAATAAAACATGTTCGATAAGTAAAACGGGTAGACACTAAGCTATGCAGTGTTGATGAAGAATTTGCTTTAATTCATGACTTTGGAAATATCCAGATAACAACTGAAAACCTAGTACCAGGTGATTATGCCTGTGTTTCCTATGAGCAAAAGTAACGGATAGAAGTCATTGAAGATAATAATTTAGAAGAAAAAGATGTGCTTGTAAAATTTATGTGTCCTAATGGTCCTGTACGGTCGTTTAAATGGCCACCAAAGGAAAGCCAATGCTGGATTCCTGATGTCTACATTATTTGCAAAGTTGAGGTACCGATAACAAAAACAGGACTTTGCTACTATTTAGCCAAAGAGGACTTAAAAAAAATTATTTTCTTAAGGAAATAGAGATTTTTATATTTATGAGTCTATTATGTCTTAAATATTTTGTTTTGTGAACCAACTTGTAAATAATGTGAATGTAAAGCATATATAAAATCACTAAAGTTTAGTATTTTTTTTAAAATTTGAAAATAAGTTAATTACCGATTCAAATGAAATCGCAGCCGAATTCAATAACTTTTTTTCGTCAATAGGACATAACCTATCAAACAAGATTCCTTATGTAGACAACAACTCTGTTGATGAATTTATATCATCGCCAAATTCAACTATAAATTTTTCAAATCTGACTTATAATGAATTCGAAATAGCATTTAAATCATTAAAAAGGAATAAAGCAATAGGGCCTGATGATATAAATGGAAATATTGTAATCGACTCTTTTAATGAGATTAAAGATATCTTCTTCAAAGTCTTCAAAGCATCTATTACTCAAGGATCGTTTCCAAATAGTTTGAAAATAGCCAAAGTAACTCCAATCTTTAAAACATGTGACCATACCAACATAACAAACTATCGTCCTATCTCAGTTCTACCGGTCTTTTCAAAAATATTAGAAAGAATAATGTATAATAGAATTTACACTTATCTTATTGATAATAAACTCCTTTATAAAAATCAATTTGGTTTTCAGAGAAACAGTTCTACTGAACACGCTATTCTCCAAGTAACACGCAGTATTGCCGATTCATTTAAGAATTCTCAATTCACACTAGGCATATTCATTGACTTGTCAAAAGCTTTTGATACTGTTAATCATCATATTTTAATAAAAAAGCTAGAGAGCTATGGTATAAAAGATAAAACCCTAAATTGGTTCAAAAGCTATCTAAGTAACCGTAAACAACTTGTTTATAACAAAGAATCTTCATCGCAAATAATAAAAAATGTAACATGCGGTGTCCCCCAAGGGTCCATACTTGGACCACTATTATTTTTATTATACATAAATGATCTTTACAAAGCTTATATTATTTATGAAATTATATTTGTGAAAAAAAAATTATTAAAGGTATATCAACCTAGTACTCAAAAGAAGCGAATTTAAATAATAATTTTGAAATTGATTATAATTCTTTGATTAAATTATTATTTTTTGATTAAATTATTATTTTATAATAAGATTATTATTTTTTGATAAAATTTTCATTTTACATTTTATTGCAAAAAAAACAAAACCTATGGTTATTTGATTAAAAACAAAAAAGTCAAAATCAGCAAGTTTTTTGATATTTTTTCATTAGTCTTTCTTTTTTTTAAATTAACTAATTATTATTTTTGAAATTTTAACTTTGCTTCTTTTGAGTACCAGGTTGACTTTTTTTTGAAGATTTTTTTAATAATATTAGAGACCCGCCTGATGTTTAAGTCTTAAGCAACCCCTTATTTTATTTTTTTTTTTTCAAAATATTTTTAAAACACATTTAGGGAGTGGGAGAAGATTTTTTTAAAAACCTTACTTTAAAGGCCATCATACATTTTATTATTCTCTGTGCTCAACAAAGAGTTTAGTTAGTTCATTTTAAAAATTTTAAATTCATTTTAAAATTTTAAAAAAATAACCACAAATTTAAAATAACTATATATTGAAAAATATTAAATAAATTCTTTTTCAAGAAAAGCAAAAAATTATACATCATTAATTACAAAAGAAGTCAGAAGATAGCTTTTAAAATAACAGAAGTTTTAGATGTTCTTTGGTATGTTGGTGCCTTAGATACATTTTTTTTTAATTTTGCACTCTTCAAAAGGCTTCGATGAGTACTCCCATTTTCCAATGGTAAAATCCCACTAAAGAAAAATACAATTTATAAATTAATAATTTATTTATAAATAAATAAAATATAAAAAATTAAAATGTTTTTGCTATGGAAAAAATTTTGTTTATATATATATATATATATATATATATATATATATATATATATATATATATATATATATATATATATATATATATATATATATATATATATATATTTTGCATTATAATTTTTACTTTGCATTAACTTGGGCAAAACGCGACGCAAGTTAATGCAAAGCCATTTAAGGATCAGATAGTTCGGGACCAGATAAATGTGTAACTTGCAGAATAAATGCAATTAATAAAACAAATCTTCACTCACAGATGTGGCGCTTTTTGTACGTTTCATCAAGCCAACTAGCCAAGAAATGCGCTAGTCGATTAACTATACATTTCTTAGGGAAGCCTGGGAATTGGAAAAGTACGACTGTACGAGTGAAGTGTTACACTGTTACTTTATTGTGAATGTTACAATTCAGATTTCACAAATGTATGATTCATACATAAATAATTATTCTTGATTTTTATTTTTTGGTTTTTTTTAATAGGTATTTATTTGCAAATCACTATAAATGAATAGTTAAATTAATTTCACATTTGAAAATGAAATTTAAAGAAATTCACTTATTGTAATTAAAACAGAATGAATTAGTTTTATTTAATTTTTACAAACGCCTTTTGCTCTTTGTTCTGAAAATGCAGCA